ATCTGCATCTTGACTAATGCGAGAAGTGTCTTGTTTAGTGCTTGTGTGTTTCCGCTCTAATTGGAAAATGAGCGAAGGTTTCGCTTGAAACCTTTACCCAGATCCTGCATCTTACCGAGGGGTAGGTTTTATGTGACCCTTGTTCTCAGGTTGATATTAACATACTGAAACGAAGTCAATCGACTAATCCGAGGTAGGTCCTACCAAAAGTGTGGGGTCGAGGATGAAATCTGAGAAACGAGGATTATCATGTGGCAGCTTCCCCGCACGGAGTCAAGGGTTGCGAAGAATGAGCTTAGTAGTAATTCTAAAGGAGGTAAAGGGCGGCCTGCTACCGAGATTTCCGTCGAACTGTAGAAGCTTCCATCAATAGGAAAGTACCAACTTGGCGCTGCCAACCAGCACAGTAGCATACTGTGCCAACGCCACTTGGCTTTGGTGTCCCCGTTGGCGAGTTAGTCTTTAGCTACATTGTATGATATGGTTGCATGATGCAGAGCTACTGCACCAGAATGAGGCAAGAATGCCATGAATATTCGATAGCAAGCTTTGGGGATGGCTACACTACAAAAACTATCTTCTAGCATAACTATCCTATCATCCGTCATTTCCTTGGATTTCGATCTAGGAGTCGAAAATGGATCGGATATTGCGCCGCGACTCGTCCTCGGCGAAGGCTAGTGAGTACAACACCGGCGAGGGAAGCGCATTAAAGCTCCCACAGAACGTGGAGGACACACTGTCCAAGGTAGTCGCCTCGCTTTTCAGCCCTGTATTATCCTGACCTCCACATCTCACCAACGTTTCGCTCCAGGTCTTGCCCTCGGAGGACGTGTTAGACCGACCCGAATTCGATGCGCGTGAGTTCATCAACCGAAACTTCCCGGACGAACAGAGTCTAGGGGATATAGGCGACTTCGTAAGCCGTCTCCGTGGGCGCATGAAGGAGCTGGACGACTCGCTGTCTCAGGCATCGCAGGATCAGAGTTTAGCGGCCCATCAGGCGCTTGTGGATCTGAAGGAAGCGAAAATGGCGACCCAGCAGCTCTTCCACAAGATCCGCGATATCCGAGGAAAGGCAGAGCAGTCGGAGGTCATGGTGCAGGAAATCTGCCGGGATATCAAGCAGCTTGACTATGCTAAGCGCCATTTACAGACTACGCTCACGGCTCTAAAGCGACTACACATGCTGGTTAACGCAGTGGATCAGTTAGAGTTCATGTCCTCCCAGCGCAACTATCGCGAGGCCGCCTCTTTGCTTGAAGCGGTTAACCAGCTCTTCACGCACTTCGACGGCTACACGAACGTCAGTAAAATCGTCGAACTCCACAAAACTGTACGCACGTTGCAGGAAGAGCTCGGTGGACAGATCTTTGCCGACTTCCGGTCTATCGGCCCGATGGAGTCGTTGGAGGAGAATTTTCCATCAGAAGAAGAGCGGCAGGCAGTCTTTGCCAACCTCTCAGCGGCATGTGCAGTCGTCGATGCATTGGGCAAAGCAACCAGAGAAAAACTCATCCATCTATTTTGTGATGAGCAGCTTCTGTCCTACGAACGATTATACGGGGACGGAGGAGAATGCGCTGGTTTGCATCAAGCTGAAACGAGATACACGTGGTTTTACAACCTCCTTGCTGCAATCGATGCTCGCTTAAACGCTATATTCCCGAAGCATTGGCGGATGGCTCGGCGCATGTGCATTCAATTCTGTGAAAGCACCCGGACCCATCTACTAGCACAGATAGGTGCACACACTCCGGACGAGATGGACGTGACATTGTTGCTGAAGTCTCTGCAACGAACGCTCATATTTGAACGCGACGCAGCGCAGCGCTTTGAAGGGATGGCAGATGGAGAAGAGCTACAGGAGATGGAGCTCGATGAGAACGGTGACGCTATCGATCCGCATTCCGCTGAAGGTATCAAGAGAAAACATCGTCGGAAAAAGCGTGAGGCAGAGCGCAAGGCACTTGAAGAAGAAATGGAGAAAAACGGCGAGCTAGCTGGCGACAATAACCAGAGTTTACCGACAATTCGAGGAATGATATCTCATTCATTCGACCCCTTCATGACGGCGTATGTCGCGCTGGAGCGGAAGAACATGGAGCAGATGATCAATGAAGTGATGAGCGCGGAGTTGGTGGATCGGAACGGCCAGCTGCCGGTGTTTTCGAGCTCGGTGAACATGTTCGCGTACATCCGCAACTCCATTAAGCGATGTACGGCGCTGACGAACGGCCAAACATTCTTTGATCTCCAGAATGAGTTCAAGCACTGCTTTCAGCTCTACTCGCAGCGGCTTCTCGCTAAACTCCCCGCTGCCTCGACTGGGCCATCAGGCGGTCTAGACTCTTCGAGCAGTGGTGCTAGCAACAAGGTCAAATTGAGCGACAAACAGGAAGAAGAACTGTGTTTTGTGATCAATACGGCCGAATATTGCGCTGAGACACTGCCATCTCTAGAGGAAGTGATTCGAGCGAAGATTGACAAAGCGTTCAGCGAAGCCATTGAGCTATCACAAGAAATGGATACCTTCCACGACGTGGGCGCTGCAGCAATGAAATGTATCGTGGCTGGGTTGGAGACATCATTGGACGACGAGTTAACTGCGCTCCACAAGGCGAACTGGCAGACGTGGGAATCAGTGGGTGACGAGAGTTTGTATGTGACGCAAATGGGCGAGAAGCTGCAAGCTTTTGTGCCGGTGCTGCGTCAAATGCTTTCTGGATTGTACTTCACGAACTTCTGCGATAAGTTTGCTGCCTCCTTCGTGCCCAAGATCCTGCAGGCTGTGTTCAAGTGCCGAAAGATGAACCAGGTGGCAACCCAGCAGTTACTGCTTGACGTATACGCACTCAAGACACTCTTCCTCCAGCTCCCAGTACTGAACAACGACGGATTTCAATCCTCTTCCGCCTCGTCGAGTGCAGCGACGATACCTTCGCGCTACACGAAGTTCGTCACGAACGAGATGGCGACAGTAGAAAACGTGCTGAAGCTCATTGGCACCCCGAACGAGATGCTCGTTGAGAGTTTCAAGATCATGTGGCCCGAGGGCACTGCAGAGGACTTCCAGAACATCATGGCTGTGAAAGGCCTCAAGAAGAGTGAGCAGGCAGCGTATCTCGAGACGCTGGGCATGCAGCGTAAGCCCACGGGTAAGATCGCCGAAATGGAGGGCAAGATGAGCGACATGACGGAGAACTGGAAGAAGAACATGCAGAACTTCGCCAAAGTACCGTTTGCATTCACGGGCGGCATGAACACCAACGCACATCATCAGGGCTAGCTTGCAGCATGAAGTAGTTGACACTGCGTTTCTTTAAGAAATTCGGCTCAAGAACACAATAAAAACAACCAAATTTCACCATAAACTGCAAAGATGCTGATCATTGTGAAGGTCTTGACGGATATGTGGCTGGAGATCCATGGCAAGAAGAGCAGTTCTGTTCTGTCTGATCGGCTGCAGCAAGCAGCCACAGGACGACAACATCGTGCAACTTCAAAATCACCAAATGAATGCGATGTTAACAAACGATGAAATGTATTACCTTAGCGTACACAGATTTAGTAGAACTTAACCCTTCGTCGCCTGTAGGCTTGCCATGCCGTGTAGTGCGCAGTAGCTCCTGTGGTGTCGGTGATCACGGTCGTGGTGGTGCCGCCACTTGTCCCCGCTTTTGAGCTCGTGGAGTCATCCGTCATGGGGCAGTCGCTGTAGTCGGAGGATTTGAGTGTCGCCTTGGACGTGATCCCTTGGTTGGACGTGATTTTCACTTCTACATTCTCCATGTCAATGGCTTCAGACGGTGACACCTGGTAAAAGGAAGTCACGCCGATGACTTCGCCTTCCACGCCATTGATCTCCATCGCTTTAATGCCGTCGCGGGAGTTTGGCACCTGTAAGGCGAACCACTGCGGGTTGCTGCCTTCCTTCCAGCAGAACTTCTCCTGCTCGTCGGGACAGGGCGTGAAATGCCACGAAATCTCGGAAATGCGAGGGTCTCCACCTACAACAGTGTACCACAACGCCGGTGTTCAGGTCGAGGTTGCCGTAGCCGCACTCGTAACATAAGTCCGCCACGAAGGCCGTGACTGTGCCGCTCTCGCCTGTAATGGACAAGCAGCGGCTGCAGCTGGACGACTCGTAGTACTGATCATAGTTCATCGCCACGAAAAGTGACGAATTGAGGCCGTACGGCGCCATACGCGAGCTACAGCTCCCGCCGAGAGCCGACTCGAGGCCGTACGTAGTGGCCTTGCCTGTAAAGACCTCCTTCGCGAACACAAACCAGGTGGAGCACAGGCAAAGCAGCGCCAATACCCGCAGAAGGAGCTGCGTTGCTCTCATCGTAGAGGTGACGAGCAGCGAGGAAGTCGTACCGCACTGCCTTGGCAGAGTGTAGAAGACCAAGTGGCATTAGTAATTCTTGGCATTTTATGTCCGTTTTGGGTTACAAAAGCATGTAGCCATGCTCCGATACAACACCGCTATTGCTGGCGCCAGAGCTGCTACTGGAAGCTCCTGTCTTGGCCATTACCATGGGCACACCAGAGAGGTTGGCGATATCCTGTGTTATCATGCTGCTCTGCATATTCAATGGCATCGCCATTGTTGCGTTAGGAAGAGGCATATTAGCCAGACCCGCATTTAGAGACGCTACCGTCAACGATGTAGCAGCCGAGTGTGCTGTAGCGAGATCCACGTCCGGTGTAGCAGGTGCGCTATCCATTACACTCCCATCCGCACTGGAAGTTGCGGCAGATTGCACGCAGTGAATATCCACCAGCTCCACCTTTATCTTCTGTTTAGCATGCAAGATGCCTTCAAGCGCAAAGTCGATCATCGTCTGGCGGTAGTCCGGTTTCTCCCAGTTGAACCGAGTGAGATCCGATGCCAACGTACCCGCAGACGTATCAGGAACCACAGTCGTCAACCCGCCCACGAACTCCTGTAGCTTGCGGAATCGGCCATTAACACAGGACCAGGCGAAGGATACGTCCGTATCACGATCGTGTTTCTTCAGCACACCATTGAGAATAGGCTCACGATTCACAGCAAGCACGAACTCCTCATATTCGCTTTGAATCATCTTAATGTCTTCGTCGGAGAAGGTCTCCCGCAAGCGCGGCTCTTGTTCGCTAAGAATCTGTAGGAAGGCCTCCTGCCCCATTTCACAAACCTCAATGGGCATTGAAACAGGCGGATTCACGTGCACGCCAACTTCTTCAGTGCAGTAGTGTCGTCCTTCTTGGGCGATTGTGGCAACGCCAGCGATCAAATTCACAGCAAAATGTGCCACAGACTTGGAGACGTGCAGCCGTTCTACTGCACCAAGTGTGTCGAACACGTCAATAGCCAGCGGCCCGCCCTCATTTTGAATAAATTGCTGTGCGTTCTGGAAAGTCAACTGGAAAGACCCTGCGGCACACGCTTCGTCACGGTCTGGCGATTCCCACAAGTCTCGTCGAGCACCGACCACATCTGCCATAATCAGCGCTAGTTTGCAAAGCTCCTGCACTTGCCCTCTCACCTTATTCGGCCCGCTCTCCAAGTTCAGCAGCTTTTTCATAAAGTATACAATCTCAGCCATCACTCGGTGGGCAACAGCTACGCAAACCCACCACGAAGCGGACGGAATAGAGACTGAAGACATTGTTTGTCGGAGCTGCATAATAGCCACACGATGCTCCATTAGCCACTTGAGTGCCTGCATTAACTTCTCCGAGAAACCGCGAGTAGTTGAGAACGAAGTGGTAACATCAGGAATGCTATCGTTCTCGAAAAGAGACAATGATCCGTCTTGATGGGAGTTCTGCTGGTCCTGACGCAGGGCGGCAAGTACCGATACCAGCTCATCATAAAAAGCTTTGCGACAAAACGTGGTGACACAGTTCTTCACTACCAGCTCCAACTGGTGCACACCACACCAAATAAGGTAGAAAGCTGACTTGTTCACAGCACTTGTGAGACGCGCTGAAAGTCCCTGCTGACTACCTGTCACCCCAGTGTTGCGTCCCGTATTGGCACCTCCATTGGTAGTTGTGCCGATCAGTTTACTTCGCCATTGCGCATCTAGAACGTCGAAAAACTTTTCTAGCTGCTTCATAATTGACGGAGCGGGATGCTGGGTGAATGCTGGTACCGTCAGGAGATGAAAATCATGCAGCGATCTATTCTGCCACAACCGTATGCGGATGTCCAAATACGAAGTGCCTTGATGAACGGCTGCGTTGGTGGCTAACGCGTACGCCCATGAGGAGCGCATCATAAGCGCAATTTTCTGCAGATTGCTTGCAATCACAGCACGTACGTAACCTGCGACTCTGTTGTCCGAGCAACCACCATAGTAGGCCATTTTCGTTTCTTCTTTTGTGCACTGTACCATGCGCGATGCCAGTCGGTAGGATGCCCCGCAAGCCACGAACTTGATGGCAAGGTCGTATAGGCGCTGATTCTTGATAATAATCTCATACGTGTCAGCGTCCTTGCGGCGGAAAACGTCAAGAGCTTGGTCCTTTGAGAGTCCTTCCTCGTCGCTTGCATTGAAGAACATATCGCCGACAATCTCCTCCACCAAGCGTTTCTCGATCACTGAGGCCGGAAGCCGCACGGGACCCACGCGCTGTACGACTGGTGCGGTTGTACCCACTACTGTTCCAGCGTTGCCGACATTGCCAGTCTGAGCGTTGATGAGCTGCTGCTGCGCCATCGCTAGCGAGTTAATCGTGGCCTCTTCGATATGGGCCGCGAAGAACTTTGCCTTCTCAGGGTTCGACGATTGCTCGTACTCGGCCCATTTCTGCCTGTGGTTAATCTCCAGGTGCGACAAATAATGGTCCGCACGGAACGGCTGCCGGAAGTATTTGATGTTGGCCGTGGCGCGCCGCTTGCGGGTCGCGTCAGCAGCTGATTCCTTCCCGAATGCCACACAAAATTTGCACATGACGGATTCCACTACGTTCGTTTTGGCGTGGCGGCTGCACACCGACAGACCATACTTGATCGTGTGCCTCTCATTGAACTTGACGCCGCGGTCCTTGTGCTTCTTGGGCTTGTCGCCACCGCGCTCCGAGCCGCGCGTTGCTCCCATGTTTTTCGTTGGCTTATGACTTTTTTTTTCGCTGTCATAAATGTTTTCCATCTGTTTTGGTTTTACCATGATTTTTTAGATTTGGAATTCAATTATGAATAAAAACATTTTTGTTAAAAACAAGACACACGAACAAATAACGTTGGTTTCTTTGCTTCAATTGAAGTGCAGCAATTAGATGGCACCAAACTATCGCGGATGGTTTTGGCCGCTCGTGGCCGTGGCGGGCACGGCAACAGCAGCAGTCGTAATATACAAGTACGCGACGAGAGGACTGCGCGATCACGGAGACAGCGAGACGCAGACGATCGGGAATACTCAAGAAGACGAAGATGTGGATTACGAGTGGCTGTCGGAAGCGGACGACGAAGTGGGGGAAGCGCAGCACAGCGAGCACTTGCAGACGGCAAACCAGGGAAAGAACATGGTGAGAATAGCGTAGAGAAAAAAATGTTGCTTTGTTATTAACGAGTGGCGAGCTTTGTGTTGTTACAGCTGCTGGCCATGTTCGGATTCATGTTGATGATACTAGTGATGGCAGTGTCACTAGTGATCACGTGGAACAGCGAGGACGACGAAATATCATTTGTGGAGCTGCCGATGTTCCAGCCATTAATGTGGATCGCCGTCGGTATCTTTACAGGTGAAGCCATAGCTCAGAAAACGCCTTGCATTAAAGCACTAACGTGTTGAGTTGCTGTTAACTATAGCTGCTAGTATGGAGCTATTCACTCGCTCATCGAGAGGGATTGACCAAGATATCCCAGTTCTTGAGGAGAAAGCGGTGTTTCCTCACGACGCGAGTGACTTCGAGCTTATCCGACAGCATAATGGTACGTTTTGCATTTCAGTCTTCCCACACGTCGCATTCGACTAATGGAGGCCTCGTGAGGCAGCAAGCTCTGCGCTGCAGAATAGCAAAGGTGTTATAACCCGCCCAGCTCGTCATGCTAATGATGCCGATGAAGAAAAGGAAAGTGTTCCTGGAGATATCGCGGCAGTTATCAAGCGCGCCGATGAATTGTTTGAGCAGGGTCAGCACGCTCAGACACGAGAATATTTAAAAGCCGAGCTACCAAAGTATCCTCCGAGCGTCGAAATGGTGGGTAGTGATTGTTACATTTTACATTCTTGTTTGAGTAATCTGACTAACGTAGATTCGATATGTGTTGTAGTTGTGGCGTTTAGCTCGCGCATGCAATTATCTCGTCGAGGAGAAGAGCAACCCTGACGAAAAGAAGGCGCTAGCTTTTGAAGGCTTAGCCGATGCGGAGAAGGCGTATGCTTTGAACAAAGACTCGGCTGCGTCCAACAAGTGGATGGCCATCATGACCAGGTACCTCTGCATTAGCAAGGACTAAGTGTAAACTTCACTAACTGGTACACTTCAACAAAACCAGCACGGTGGGGAACTTTCGAGATCTTAAGGAGAAGATCGCAGGTGCCTACGTCATTCGGGTAAACTACTGCTATCTACACCCCCGTTTCGGCCCCTCTGAACTGTTCTTCTCTGTAGGATCACATTCAACGAGCCATTGAGCTGGACCCGAGTGACGCCACGTCTCACAACATCCTTGGACAGTGGTGTTTGGCCTTTGCCGACATGACTTGGATCGAAAAGCGCGCCGCTGCTGCACTCTTCGGTACTCCACCTACCGCTACATATGAGGAAGCCGTTGAGCACTTTCAGGCAGCAGGTAAGCCTCAAATCCCATCATCAACATGCGTGCCTTGGCTCAAAATCACAAATGCTGATATTTTTATGCTTGTTTAGAAAACATCAGCCCTGGGTTCTGGAAGAAGAACGTGTTTCTCCTCGCGCAGGTAGTGCATGTGTAAATTTGCGATATAGTGCTTTTCCACTTTGTGAGCTTTCTGACGTTTTGTTGCTAGACCTACTTAAAAATGAAGCGAACCAAGGAAGCAGCGAATTGGGTGTTAAAAGCCAAGGCAGTTCCGGTGAAGACGAGAGAGGACGAGGAGGTAGAGAGAGAGATCGCAGCGCTGATGAAGCAATTGAAGTTGCAATAAAATAATTGAAGGTCGGACCATGTTATTCTATTGCATAGGTTTTAAAAACTATCAAACAGGTTACGCGTGGAGTCAGCAGCGTAGAAGCTGGCTGGCAACTCACGTGCACTAAGAACGTGAGGCATAGCAAGGCAAGCGAAAGACATGGGCATCGATCTGGGATCAAACAGCGCAGCAACCACGAAGCAACGGGCGGTGGCAAAGTCGACACCTGCCGACAGTGCAGCAGCCGAACCCAAAGTGAAGCCGTCTCCTCCGAAACAGTCCATCGTGTCTGTCATTACAGGAGACGCGTCCCTGGTACGCACTGCTTTACTCAGTGATTGCTGCACGGAGGCTAACACTTGCTGTAGCTGATGGCGGCTTCTGGTATTTGCACTATGGTGGTGTCGGGTATTGTGTCAATTGCGATGGTGGCGCTGGATGACAACCTGTCGTCGGTGGGCGAGTTGCGATTGTTCTCGCCCTCCATGGTTACAGGTTCCGTCCTCTTTACAGGTGCGTTTTAAAGGCTTTACTGTGAGGTTACTGCAATACTGAACAGAGTATGTTGCTGTGAAGTGGGTGTGATGAATGCCATGCTCAGATATTCGAACCGGAAGGCCAATGCTGCGCCGGGAGAGGTCGTGCTTCCACCTGGCCACCCTCCTATTTCACCGGAGAAGCTAGCAGAAATGGTAGAACTGGACGAGAATGGTAACCCAAAGAAGCGCATCAGTCGTTGCCCGCTGGGGTTCTAAGCGACGAATGCCACGAATTCGATACAATAGACTGTGAAGTGGTTGTAATGTGAAATGAGCACTCAACAATAACAACACACTCACTTCCTACGACTAGTACGTCGAGCTCGACGGGCCTCCCGCTTCTTTTCCTGGAGTGAAAGCTTCAGTGCCTCCAGCAAGTCACTGCACAAAGCAACTGTCAGTTTTCTGCTAATGCTTCCAAATGGTAAGAAAAGCGCAGCACCACGTACGGATCATCTTCATCGTACACCTCATCATGGTGATCAAGAGCCTGTGCTGCACCACCAGGTCGGCGTGGGATCGGGGCATCTTCATATCCTGGCTGCCGATGGCGGATCTCATTCTGCAAACATTCGCAATATCAATATTTCTCCTTTGCTGGAGTATCGATAACACCTCCACCATACCTCAAACTGTTCTGCCGACAACGAACCCAGCATTCTCTGAGCGCCGCGATTGAAAACGGAGTATGCGCTCATACCGTCTGCACGACTCTCTCCGCCAAACAGCAAATGATAGCACAGCACAGCGAAACCTGAGAGAATGACATACGCCGCCGCGAATTCGGGTTCATTATCGTGGATGTACATCAGCCCTCCGATCCAAACGGATGCCACCAAAGAGTAAGAAGCGAGAGAACGCCAATGAGGTCGGAGGGCAAGTGCCACGCTCTCTAATGTTTCCTTCGACAACAACTGCTCCACCTTGCGGCGAATCTTAGCACGCGTATCACGGTTCACGCGTAGTACTGGCGGGATGAAGGGCACCAGCCAGTCCAGCGGCCCTTGATCGGCAGCCCTCATGCGGCGCGGCATCGGTCTGTCCATTTTTACGAGACCACAAATCCTGAGAATGAAAAAAAAAAAAATCGGAAAAAGCCAAATTATTTTATGTAGACATTTTTATGCTGACGCCTGCATCCTCAAGACCTGCATGCACGTCTTGGTGAACTGCTCAGCGGGGATAGCAGCGGGCAATTCTCCTTCATGCGCGATGAACCACGCGATGAGGTCTCGATAATGGCTGGGGAAAAGCTTCTGCATGTGACATCGGGTCTCATCGAGTCGAAGTTGCGAAGTCAAAAACCCACGGGCGAGGTGCACCCCCTGAGCTTCCAGCTTGTCGGTGTGTTGAGTACGCTGCAGTGCCATAAGACGCTTGTAAAGCTGGAGAACCAGCTGCTTCTTGGTTTTTTCACGCCGCAGGTCAAAGCGCTGCAAGGCTGCCTTCTTTTCCAGTGCATCCAGCTGGTCATCCTTCTGCAGGGTCTGAATGAGGAACTCTAACGAGTCCAGCGGCTGGGTCTCCAACAAACGTGTCAGCAGAATATGCAATATTTCCTGCACCTGGTGGCTCTCGGCGTATGAGCTCATGGCGTCCAGCATTTCAGTCGGAGGAGGTCCGTCGCCGAGCATGTTTGAGTCGCGCTGCCGAATCACCCTCGATGGAGGCATCGGTATTTATCGTGCGATCTGGGGCAAAAGAGAACTGAAGCGGCACTCTACTTGAAACGACAACTATATTCAAGCGTTCGTTTATAAAATGCAATGATTGTTCTTGTCACTCATTGTTCACTGTCAATTGAACCGGATTGCACTTAGGGCACGCGGCGTCGATTCCAAGTGGTAGGAATCCTACCGTAAGATCATCCTACATGTACTAGGATGTAGTTGATCATCTCGATGACAGCCGATATCATGCGTGAAGAGAGCCTGGCACTGTGCCATGCGAATTGAGTCGCCGAGTCATCTTCAATATCTGTTCCCAATTTGGCTTTCCTAGCACTGTCCTGCTGTCGTCCTCGAACCACATGGCAAGTGCTCCCATCCACTTGCTTCGCCTGATGCTCTTGCCCAACTCTGCCATAGGGCCGGCTAGTACTTCGAAGTCTTCCGCCCTGCAAAGCCTCCTCACTCTCTAATTTGCTAGCATCCCGCTCGCTGCCCAGCCTTCATTCAAACTTCAGCCGACAGAAACATGAGCTTCGGAGGCAACGTTGAAGGCTACTTGCTCAAGATTGAGGGCGATGAAGCGCGTATCGTGTACTGCATCCTCGACGAGGGCATGTTGCAGTACTTCTCACGCATGGGCGGCGAGCTACTGGGAGCTATCGCCTTGTCAGGCTGCAAGGTTGACGTGTTCCTACTTCCTTCCTCGGACGAGATCGGTCAAGTGCCCAACCAATTTCGTGTCGACGCCCAACCACGAACTCCGTCCGTTCGCCGACGTGGTGCCCGGCAGCCCGTGGATGCAGACAAGCTGGTGTCGATGACTTTTGCAGGATCAACGCGTGAAGTCTCCGACCAGTGGGCCGTCTCCATCCTCAACTGGAATCGCTACAGTTGGGAAGACGGTCAAATGGTTTGCAGCTCCAAGAACGAGTATCACAACCTTCAGAGCATCATTGGGCTGAGCGACTTGAGGACGGACAAGACCACTGAGGACCCTGTTGTGCCGGTTGGAGTGAGCCCAGCAGTGCTGCCACTGTAACTATAAGCTAGCATAGGTAGAGCTTCCCCGTTGTGTTTTTTTTTTTCGTTCAATAGACTGAGTGAAGTGAGTAAAGTGACGTTTGCCTTGCTGACAAGTTACAAGTTGCAACACTGCTATTATCATTCAACAGCCTCGAAACATTTCGTAGTTAACGTTTCTGAGTTGCAACAACAGCGAAGAAACTGGACGCGAACGCATTTCACGCATTTCGTTCTGCAAGTTTTACAATCTTTTTACACGATAATGCTGATTGTATTTACTTACACCTCAACGATTTTACAAACTAATCTATCGCAGCAAAAAGTTTTACGGCACGGGCGTAGCCTGAGGCATGGTAGTTTGAGGCACCATCGAGATAGGAGCTTCCCCAGCACTAGACGACGGAGGGGACGCCTTCTGAGGCTCGTTGCTAGTCCCAGCTGCCGCAGCTGCTGCTGCCTCCTCCGCTGCCATTTCGGCCAGACGTGCCTTCGTAATAAACCGACCGTCTTCTCCACGCTTGCGGTTCTTCGCGATGCTGTGTCGCACCGGATAAGATGGTTTATTGGACCAGTTGCGGTTCTCGCGCTTCTTCAACCACTTGGCAATTTTCTCCTTCTTTTCCTCCTTCGAGCAGGGCGGAGGATACGATGGCATCGGTGGAGCAGTGGTCCACTTTCCTCCAGGGCCAGCACGAAGCTGAGCCTTGCCGAATCCATAGCCAGCGGCGTAGAAGTTGTAGCCCATGTCAGGCTGCACACTGCCGTATCCGTACCGGTTCATAGCGTACTGAGGCTGTTGCTGGTATGGATTGTAGCCACCATTGGCTCCAGACATGTACGCGTTCATGGTGTACTGCGACTGGTCTCCAGCGTAGATTACGTTTGCTGGGTAAGAACCTTGGTTCATGGCGTACCCTTGTTGCATACTGTAGCCGTTCATGCCCATGTGCGCAGAGGCTGCGGGAGAAACTGCAGGAGGATTCATCCCCATCATGTTGTGCACAGGCGATGACTCGTATCCACGCTTCATGTAAGTCGCTCGATCTCTGAGAGGCAAGTTGATCTGTGGGGGAGCGCCAGCGTACATATTGGTCGGTGAGGCTTGGGGCTGGTGGTATTGCTGCGCCATAATCGTCGTGGGTGGGTAGCCATTCGACACAGGCATCCCAGTAGCGAACCCATTACTAGTCGGCATGCTGGCGCCAGTAGGAGTAACCAGGTTCGTGGGAGCCGAGTACTGGTTCATTGCCATGGGAGAGCTCTGCGGATAGCTTGTAGCATTCATCGGCGTTGACTGGTTCGTTTGGTATGCGAACGTATTCGCTGAAGGGGTCAGAACTGCGGGCGCTGGGTTGAATCGACCCGTATTGTTAACGTTTTGCACTGGCATTGGATCCGACTTGGCTGCTGGTGGCGTGGTGTTGAAGTTGAGAGCAATATCGTTTACAAAACTCTCCGACAGCCAATCACCAGTGTTGCGCTTGGAAGAAGGATTCTGGATCTCCTTGAGGAGCAGATCTTTCACGGCCTGGAAGTCGCCCGTATTGTTGTACTTGTCCAGTGCTTCTTGGAGCTGAGGGGAGTCATTGTTTAACAGCAGATCTTTCAAGTGACCTCGGTCATCGTTGGAGATAAGTCCTTTATCACCCAGCGACTTGATTGCGGCCATTTTGCCGGAAATACTTCGATAGCGTTTGTTTCCCTTCTTGCCACTGGACATCAAGCCCCCGGACGGAGCGCTGCTGCCCATTCCGCCTCTGGGAGGTCCTCCCATGTTTCCAGACGGTGCAGCATTACCCGTTGTTTGGCCATTAGAGTAAGGAGAGATGCTGGGTTGAGAAGTGACACTACTGGCGCTTGGCGTAGACAGCGTCATGGGTCTTGCCGACGATCCACCGGGGGCAGCGGCAGCTGCTTCAGGTACCGAAGCGGCCTGTCGCTCGCTGGGCTGCTGGTAATCTTCGCCCCGTAAACAGATCACGAAGCGGTCATTCTCGCGGACGCCGAAGCGCAGGGAGCGAGCGTTAAGCTGTTGTGTCATGTCAGTCAGAGTGCATACGTTAGATTTCCCTCCACCAAAAGATGTCCACCAAACAAAGACAATTGCAGATCAAACGCACCTCAGCCGCAATGCCAGTGGCCTCCGTGGGAAGCAGAAAGACCCGCGCCTTGGGCGTCGTAACGCCGTCCTCATACTCGCCTTGCTTGCCTACAGCAGCCACCATGGCAGTGATGGCGTCCTTCCACTTGAGCGGCGGCGGCGGAAGCTCCAGCACCTCGTCATCGGTCTCATGCTGCGTCGTGCCATCGTACAGACGCACAAACACGCGCGTGCTCATGACTGCGGGCGGGTGTCGTGTCGATCGGGTGAGGAGATGACGTACGTCTGCGCTGTCGGAAGCTCCTCGCAAGTGCGGAAATGAAGAGCGTGGTTGGGCCCAAACCCCAACTGGGGCATCGAATTCTGTGCCGGCAACCGATTGGATATTTTTCGAAACATCCGAGAGGTTTCTACAAACACCAAATACGTCCAATATGGAGCGATCTTTACTGTACGCTCGTCTAGGATATTAATAATGGAAGGCTTTGATGGCGCCATAGAGCGGAGGACGACGCTGAGTCCACAAATTCTCCCCCACCCCTCGCGTCGAATAGTCAATTTGGGTCCCAGATTTCCCGCAATTTTTGAGCAACGATGAAGTTGAAGCGACAAACTTAACTCAAAACTCGAACGTTGGTGCTGAATAAGCTTTGCAAGGTATCGAAGATAAGCCTTATTAGGGACACAGTGTCTAGAGCAGAGGGATCACCTTGGAGGCAGAGTCCTATCTTGTAGAATGACACCGCAAATTGGATGCGATGTCCTTTTGACCCTTTTCTGTAGATGCAGATTTTGAATTTGGGCACTCCAAGAAGCGAAAAAAAGTCAGCGATTCGGGCCGGAGCGTGGGGCAAGTAGCGAGCCCAGTCAATACAACGCATGGCGACGAAGGAGGGAGCTGACGGCGCTGGCCACCTCGCTCGGATAGTGAACTACGTGCTGTACCAGCCGAACCCGCTGCAACAGGTAGGAACTTCATAATGAAGCGGGCTGCCGCGTGGCGTTGGCGCGTCACGATCCGCGACAAAAAGTATCTTTCGTCGCGTTGTGTACCCATCCCAGATTATCTGACCTAGATGGCTACATTGAATGCTGTCACTGTCAGATCTTCTACTTGCTGCTGGTCGTCGGAGGCTACAGTGCTTTCCTCTTCTTCGGACTACCGCATCTACCCAATGACTCACTCGGCGAGATCCACATGTACGTGGCCATTATTTTAGTCGCGCTCCTCCTGATCAGCTCTACGTAGATGAGCCGGGCAGAGAACACTGATTAACACAACTGCTGCCTCTGTAGATACCTCAGCTTCGTGGCGGTGCTGAGCGCGCTACAGAGTTTCATTGCGGCGTCCATGTCGTCACCGGGGATTTTGCTGCCTCGTACGCATTGTGTCGTTACTGTCCTGGATAACAGTTTAACATTTCTCGTTTGCTTTGTCTTGTCGCTGACAATGACAGCGACGCTCGTGTACTTCGACAACTACGAGTTCGACGATGTGCTGTACCGCAAGCGCGAGTGTCCAACGTGCAAAATGACTAAGTGAGCAGTTTTATAAGCGATCGCCATAGTCACGGATACCTTTTTTTTTTTTGACAGGTTTGCATTGCTGTGTTATGACAGACTCGCCCGCTCCAAGCACTGCTCCGTTTGCAACAAGTGTGTCCCGCGCTTCGATCACCGTGCGTTAACACAATTGTCTACTATTCAAAAGGCAATTTATAACATGGTTGTGTCCTTTTTCGAGTAGATTGCGGATGGCTTAACACTTGCATTGGCGAATGCAACCACTGGGTCTTCCTGCGATTCCTCATGGTACCGACTGGCAGCATAATTCCTGATCGTTCCATCACAATTATTCAGCTAATGCGTGTGGTTTCATCATTAATTCCAGATGAACGTGCTTTTGTGCAGCTATGGTTCGTACGTTCTCTTCGCAACTTTATCCGACGAGTACCAGCATCTATTGCGAGAAGAGTTTCTGGATGAAAACACCCGCACTGTTGTCCAAGGCGAGCCGATGGTTGTCGTTCGATATTTGATCCATGAGGAATCTATCCTCATAGTTCTGTTCGTGCTCTGTGTCGGCATGGGCATTGCGCTTGTGTGCTTTTCCGGATTCCACCTCTATCTGGTTTCCAACAATCTCACCACAAACGAGTTTTTCAAGCGGAGGGAACTTCGTCGATCGCATATGTGTCCTTGCACACATAAGTATGATCTCGGGTCCGCCGTATTAAACTGGCGCGAAGTTTGGGAGCCTCGATACAAAGCTAAGATATTTGCTGTGAAGTTGGCCGCTTCCAAGCGCTCTGATCATCAAAAAGGAGTAAAATCAGCGTAATAGACTAGCAAGAAAAACTGGTTAATATTTTTAGCGATAGGCTCATACCTTCTCGAAAAGTGCAGTTGTGGAGAATAGCCGAGTTCGTTGCAGCTACCCAAGGAAGCCTCAGCTGAACAAGACCAATGCCTTCCGAGGAAGAGACACCAACCTCCTTACTTACACCCGATGATTTGTATTTGCAGGCACGTAGCTTTGATGTAGATCTGGATAAGGAGCCGTACTTGCTTCC